TTCGGAAAATAAAGTTCCGAAATACAAACAGAAACGATAATTTGGAATATTTAAAAAAAAAAAATGAAATGTTTGAAGTACGAAGAAAGTTCGTGTTTAGTGAAATTTTCACATTTGTGCCCAGACTTGAATATTAATGCATTAAAAAGTATAAATAGAAACCGTAATTTTGCGCATATTTGATGATTTTGTGTTATGAAAATGTCAGTATAAATGCATTTAGATTGACATTTCAGGATTACCATTCTTGCAACGAAAGTAACCGTTATCAAAAATTTGGCCTTGAACAAGGATAGAACGATATCTCTATCGTGTCGTTAACTTCTAAATATCTCTAATTGATTCTAAAATTCGAGCTTTAAAAAATCGCCAAGTTGACGTTTCAAGGTTTCGTAGACATTTTGGGACAAACGGCGTAAATAAAACTAATTAAGAATCTTTTCTGTTTGCGGTTAGCATTAATTATGATTAATAAAAAAGGAGAAATCAGCACCGGTGTCATTAAACACGTAACAAAAACAATAAAAACTAAATTTGTTCTTTAGGAGTGGCAGTACTAATTTCGCCAAATAAATTCATGTGTTAATAAGATGACAAGGTCAACGAACAGGTCTTTTTTCACCTCATAATAAACGCGAATCGTTTTAGAAATTCTCGCAAAAGTTATTAAGAACGGTTTTTACATAAAACGCTTTATAATAGTTGCGCTTCGGATAGCAAAAAGCTCGCAGGCATCTGCGTGAACTCCACTAAATTTACGGAAACGAGTCGAGTATTTTTAGGCCTTACGTCTCCCAGATGAGTGGCCAAAATTTCATTCTGTAAAAGCGCGTCCTTCACGATTTTAGCACTGATGTCACAAACGTCCTAGTACTATTATTAGATCGTAATTTTCCGTTCGGCTCCACAGCCTTGAGAAATGCAAGTAATAATTTAAATAATAACACAGGGTGTTTTATAACGTTTGTGGATTTTTCAAGTGCTAAAACTACACTCTTGAAGGCGTTTTAACCTGTTCAAGCTAGTGCTAAAAAACATGATTTCAAGGTTTAGTCTGCGTTGGCGTCCCGCTTCCGTGGGTCTGTCGGTCTGACTGTCCGTCGCACCAGGAAGATGCTTCGTTAAAATGAGAAACACGTAGCAGCGGTGTTTGTAATTCGTCGTTATTAACTCGTTTCGTTTTTGATTCCTTTTTAGAATTCAAATGAGCGTGCACAATTAACATAGAGCACGAACTTGAAGAACCCAAGTTTATAGACCGGCTTTATTAGAGTTAAATATGGAAATTTGTTTTCGTTATCTGAGTGTTATGGTGCTTTCACCATTTTAATATGGACATGGACACACGATGTCGTTGTGAATGACGATTTTTGCTTTTACTTGTGTAACAAAAAGACAACAGTGATTCATGCTTTTGGAAAAAGCTTCTAAAATACATAACATAGTTTCGCAAGCGTTGCTCCACATATTATTTTTAATGAAGACCGATGGGAACTAGCTAGAGAAATTAATGATTCACACGATTTACACAACTTTTTGTCTTGGATTTTTATGAAAACACGTGTTTGTATGTTTTAACTAAAAAATCGAAACGAGTACATGTGAAAATGATGGTTTGTGTGCTTTTGGATGAACTTTAACTTGGTTGAATAATTATTGGTGATTTCAAAAAGGTAATAATCAGTGCGGAAACAGTAGTTAATCAATTAAGTAACGACTTTTTGTGAACAAGATTTTGTTATTATCATTGGTTAACGTAGTGAAACAGCCTTAGAATAAGTGTCACTCGTATCAGGGTTATTTTTATACAGAATTGGAGGTTTCAATTAGTGACGGTGCTTTTATTCTTTTTCGAAGTTCGGTTTAGCAGGAAGTGATCTCATCTTTTTTTGTACATAACACAAAATAATTTATTCGTCATGATTATAAATAAATGGGTGATTTCGAAATAGCGCGAACATTGCCGGGGAGTTGACGGATTTGTTTAGGAAACGTAATTGAAAGAGCTCGATGGATAAATATTGTGGTTTTAGCAATTCAGTTAGTTGATGCGAAAACTCAAAACGTTACAATTTTAAAACGGAAGAGGAATAATGACTTCAAAAAAATCGGTCTAGTTCGGGCCAAATTGTTACAATTATGATAATTTAATTTTATTACGACTTCCGCTTCATTGTTGTTCTTTTTACATGCGACGACACGAGATGGATGCAGTTGGAAATGATCAAGTGGGCAGTGGATGCTGGTGGAATTATAAAGAGTGAAATTCTAGAAATGAAAACGACCGCGGCATCTTCCGGAAACTGCACAATAAAATTATTTTTGAACGGATAAAGTGTTTTCAATCTTCTGGTTCCAGGCTTTTTCTTGCTTTATTTTTGATCATATTTTACTTGAAAAGGTAAAGGGAAACCTTCAGATCAGCGGGTGTGGCTGTACTAAAAATACCACTATCAACGATTGTGCTTTATGACCTTTATTTTTAATCTAAAGCTAAAATCAAATAACGCCGCACTTGAAGGAGACAAGTTAACGCTATAAAGATTTTAAATGAGTAAATGTAATAAATCTTGTTACATGCCATATTTGTAGAAACTTGTTTTGGTCATCATTGGACGAAATGTCAAAAATCCAGTCGAACATTAACAGGGTATTTATGTGACGGACTCGTAAAAATGTAGTTAAGCATAGTATGTGTCAAATAATCTGCACATTGTAGTGGAGCGGTTGCTAAGTTGTTAAAAACCGATCAACTGTACTCTTATTTTTAATTCAATTATTCATGCAGACACTAATACATAATTTGCGTTTCTCTATTACAAAGCTAATTTGACATAGAAGTTAACACTTTCGCGTTGTAACCGGTTTACGTGCTCCTGAAGACTTTGACAATGTTTATTTAAGTGTCACCGGTGAACTTTTCCCGCTTTCGGTGTGTACAAAGTACTTTTTAAATGAAAACGACACACAAATTTTTCTCGTTTTTTACGTTCAAAGCCGCGGCGGCGGTTTCAAAGTGAGACCAAATATCCCGAAGATATAAGCATTTGCATACGTTTTAAGAATATTCCGATGCGTGCCAGAGTTTTTTGAAGTGTGTTGAATAAACAACAAATTTAAAATAGGTACATTTCGTAAACAGAATGGTGATATATCGCCGAATTTCGAAATCGGTAGATGTCTTTATGACGTTTTATTGATTATCGAGATTTCGTGGTGTTGAAATACACCGAATGAACAGTACGGGAACAACCGACTTGGACTAGGTCTGCAATTATGGAAGAATTTAGCCCAACGTTTATTTAAATCTAGAAATAATTAATTTGTCCGTGAAATCCGCTGCGTGTGTGTGTTTTTTTTTCTTTCTTATTCAGAGAAAAAACGTTGCAAAACAGCTCGCGCTTTAAATCTGTGGAGGAGTAAATCAAGCCAGTCTCTTTAAATTCATTAAAAATTTTAAAATAGCACAACGTAAACACATATTTTATTTTAGTGGCACAGTGCAGCATCATGCACAAGAAATACATAAGTTTTTTGTTTAGTTTCCGGTGTGTCTGTGGGAATCTTATTTATAATTCATGGACGTAATGTATATTTAACTATGGATATTGTGGCATTTAACAGATTTATGCCAACACCACGCGTTTGGCAAAGTGACGTGATGTAAGGGCATCGTCCTAAATATAAACAAAATAGTATCTAATGAAGCTTAATGTAAAATGAGCGCTATCTTTAAAAATAATAAAAATGTGAGTCATCTAACAATGACACGGCTTTCGGTGCTCTCTCTCGTTTTAATTTTAGAAGTGAAGTTTGGAAGAAAATAGTAAACTAATGATGTTAAATTTATAGGAAAGTCGACACTCGGGTTAATGATGTGTCTTATTAACGTTCATTGCCTTGAAATATATATATATAATTAGGTTTTTTATTGATCGCCAATTCTCTTATCAATGCGTATCAACAGGTGAACGTGATAAATGAAATGTACAACTTATTTACGGCCATTATTGTTTACTTTCGTGGTTTCTGCGTGAAATGAAATAGGAAGTGGGTTGGGAATTATTCTTAATAACTCGTTTTATTGATTGTCGGAGGGTGAACGACTTCGCTCGTTTAAAATTTCATATTTTTACTTAGTTAGAGTTATTAAAGGGTCATTTGTAGAAAACGCTTCCGTTCGTCTGTCTGTCTGTCTGTCTGTCTGTTAGAAACGATTTTGAGGTTATGGCTGATTAATTAATTTTGCTCAATGTGTATGTGGTATTGGTCACGCTTTACAGAGCAATTTTTTCTTCGATCTGTGGAAAGTTGGTACAAGTTTCCCCGATGGAAGCTTCACACTTCCGTACTTAAGTAGCGCAAGCTCGCTAATTCACTAAACGTAAGTAATTAAAAGTGAATTGCGTTAGTGTAAGTCATTACCACGAGTTTATTGTCGAAACGCGAACTAAAACTAGCATAAAGGAAGTAATTGTGTTGTTTTTGCGTGTAAAATAATTTATCTCGACTCCGCGTTATATAACTAATAAAGAACAGGTAAAGTAAATTACAGTTCTATCGAGTTGCATGCATTATTCAGCGTAGACCACGTGCCGGTTACCCCTTTTGCCCGTTTTCCGGTGATACAACCGTAATCGTCATTTAATGTCATTTTTATATGAAATAACGGAAACCGCATTGTTGGTTCAAAAGTTCACATTTTCGTTCCAATTTGAAACTCGTACTAATTGCGCCTCTGTATATGGGAAGTTGATCCATCGGATTCCTTGAAAATGCGACTCCCACTTGCTTTTCGAAATAGACGGCGATCGAGCGCACCAGAACTCAATTCAAGTTTAAATTGCAAAAGTGCATGTGCACGGTACCAATTTTTGTAATGCGAGTCACGAAATCGATTGCGAAAGCGAAAACATTGAATTTTTAACGCGCGAAAATATCGATTTTGTGATAGTGACACTGAAATGATAAATAAATTCACCGCATGCGATTGTTTTCAGAATACGTCGACGTCGTCCGACGAAACCGACAGCGATTGTTATGAAGAACCAGTGAATAAATATCCGAGATTAAGCAGTAGGGAGCAATCTTGCGTCTTCAACAACAACATCGAAAATAGGACAACGACTGAGGTAATTATTGCAAAGCGACGTTTTTAACCGATCTCGCGAAAATTCGTTGTTTTATTAGATCTATGTTACGACATTTTAATTTTACAGTGATTGGTTTCAAATGAACAACTTTCAATTGATAAACAAAACATTGATTTTGTAGCTAAAACAGAGTTGGGATCGCGGTTGTGACGTAAGATTTTTTTGTGTAAAAACAATGTCGATCGCAGAATTTTTAGCCAACTGAAACTAACTTTTTTTTTAACTTACATGTATCAAGAAAATTGCTACACCGACTCGTCTTTTCGTATATACCTACAACAAAATCTAGAAAAATATTTGCACCGAACTTCCCTCGTTTCAAAAGCAGTAGAAATACCACGAAAAAAAAATAGTTATAGCTTTAGCACTGTTTTTTTAAATTCTTATTACACACCCCAGCTTCAGAAGAAAAATCACAATATGTAGGTTTATTTTTAACATTTGTGTATTTCTAGTAACAATAAAGTTGAATTTTCGTTTACGAAAAAATTATTGTGATTTCCAAATAATCATATTTTTTGTTTTTTTGCATAAAATCTTGTCTTATTATTTCAAATAGAAAGAGTAAACAACGATTTTCGCAAATTATAACCTTTTAGAATGTTTTTGTAAACAGTATGACTCAATTTTATTGATATCACAACAAAGCCCATACTTTTGTTTATCTATCTATAAAATATTGCGACAAAAATGTCGATAATAATCTTGCTCGGATTTTTTAGGTTAATAACAACACCGTATCGGAATTTCAAACAATACATAGAATGTCTAGAAAAATCTGAAGTGTTGATCGGAACATTTTCAAATTGAAAAGTCACTAGAAATACCTTTTATCAATGCACCCCATACCAGAGTGTGTTTTCGTAACAAAATGCATTCGAATTATACACAGTGGCGGAGTATAGGTGATTTAACTATGACACATTAATGAATTCAGAAAAACAAGTTTTACAAAATATATAGAGGATCTCAAAATTAATTTATAGGATGTCATTTAGTTTCTTACATTGTTACTACTATTAGCAGTATTTGTTTTAATGTATAAAGGTGATCACAAATAAAACAATCTTTTTTTTTCCAAAGAAACTAGATCGAACGAGGGAAATCCTGTCGAAATAACTTTCAATCAATTTTTGTCTAAAAAATAATTCCTGAATCACCTTGTATATTTAACATTCAACTACAAAACACGAGAAAATGGCAGTTATACACTTTAACAGATGGTTGAGCAAAAACTAAGTTTTTTATTTGCCGAAGTAACGTACAATTTTTGAAAATTATAAAATGTAACTAGTGTTTTCCACGTTTCATGACGCCTAGATTACGAAAAAAATGGGTCTCGTTTCCGTCCGTCTGTCTGTCTGTTTGTCTGGTGTCTGTATCCATTTTATTACACAAGTAATCTCCGAACCTACTCGACCGATTGTCACATTTTGTGTGTATATTATGAATATCATGTAGATGGTTAAACCCTAACTAAAATTTGGATAATCATCCCCACCACCATCGGGATGACGTCATCGCCAAAATTTATAATAAAAACTTTTTTAGTTCCTGAGCGTAAGCTACCCCAAAATTTTGCTGAATAAATCCACACTAAAATGTACAAAATTTGATAAGTCTGCACTTGCAATTTATCATTAATGTTCATATTTTTTAGATTTGCATATACAGGGTGATTCAAAAAAATTAATGAATGCGTGAATTTATTTTATTGATTTAATCAGGAACTACAAAACCGCATGCTTTGAAAACTTGGAGATGTTTTAAAGGTATCATAAGCATGGTATATTTTTGATCAAAATATATTTGCTCATCCCCCCTAAAAAATTGTTGACGTCACCTCAAAATTTTGCTGAATACGTCTTATCTTAAATGTGCAAAATATGATACAATTGTGATTTATTATTCCATTTATATTTTTTTGGATTTGCATATACTGGGTGACTCAAAAAAATTAATAAATGCGTGAATTTATGTTATAGATTTAATCAAAATTGTCCTTAATAAATCCTATCTTAAATGTGCAAAATATAATGAGTCTGCACTTGTGAATTAATCATTGCATTCATATTTTTTGGATTTGCATATCCAGGGTGACTCAAAAAATTAAAGCTATGTATTTTATTCTACTTCACAGTTTTTGACATATTTCTAGGAACTCGAAAGCAACCAGAAAAATTTTCAACTAATTTTAAACATTGCTTATCAATATGTGGGACAACAAAAAAGCAAAATTTCTCTAATTTAGCCAATTCTAGATGGCCGTGATTGCATATATTATTTTACTTATGTCGAAAATGGCAAAAACATCGTCCACACACCTTCGATATAACTTTGGAAATGTTTCAGGTTTTTCATGCAAATCCATTTCAGGGCAACTATAAATCAGTTAATACTTTCAAAAAAATCCCCCGTTGAATTGAAAAATGTTACGTTTCATACATTTCTCAGATGATTTTGAATAATTATTATTCAAGATAATTTTGCATTAACGCATCTTTAAAATAAATAAATTAAAACACTATTCTTAATTACCATAAAAATGCGTCATGTCTTAATTTCACGTATGTGTAGACAAATTTTATTCAGCTTATTACCATCTATACGATAATTTTAAAATATACATTTCCAGACGTGAAACGTCTAGAAAACAGCAAATTGAAAGTTCCTCAAAATTATCTCCTTAGCTTATGTTCGGAAAGTAAAAAAATTTCTTTATAGATTGTGATTAAGTCTGTAAAAATGATGTAGTTGTAAATAACACAATAAACATGGTTATAAGCCGCAGTATTAAAGAGAAAGAGGATTAACCTTGAGGTCATTAGGTGGAATACTTAATATCATCACTTCTCACACCAAGTGTTCTTTCTACTTCTTTTACTCATGTGGGTGTAACACCACTTTAGATTTTTTTAAAAACATTTTTGTTCGTTTTCAGAATGATTGTGGCCATAGTCAGGACGTCCCAGAGCCTCCCTTAACATTCAAAGACGTAATGAACAAAAACGCGCCTAAACAATTTGCTCCAACAGGTGAAGACACAGTGGACGGTCCTTGTTTCAGGTTCGGCGAAGACACATCCCAGTTCACAAAGTAAGTAACGTCTTAACCTCTCTCGCTTAACTTCAGTAATCGCGCTTGCCCAGATCCAATCGAAGGGCGCCCAACTTAGGAACTTACTACTTCCGACACGAAGACACCGATTCGGACATGGACAAAGTCGAGCAACACTCCCTCAAGAATGAAGTACAGAGTACGGTCGAAGAAACATCCGAAGAAGAATGGACCTACACGAAGAACGTAGAAAAGACGAACGAAGCAATGGAACTAGGCGAGGTGCCAAAACCGAAACACGTGCCAGAAGAGACAATCAGAAAACTCGTCTTGGAAGCGGAGGAGCTAGTAAGCCCTGATAAGTCCCGGAAGTTGGATAGAATCAACTGCGTGAATAAAATGTCGAGGGTGAAGAAGTGGTTAAGCATGGAAAAACCGGACGATAGTTGCGACGCTAGCGGCGAAGACGACGAACGAGAATCGCAAGTGTCGGAGGATTTTGATGAAAGTACCACGACGTTCCGAGCTACACAAGGATACAATTCGCAGAACACGTCGTTCACGGAATTGAACCACCCGGAATCCACGCCCAAGATTAATCTGAGACAGAGGAAATATGGCACAAATCGGCCGTGGAGTGTGTCGTGCATCTCGCAGCTGGACCAAACATCCCCCACCAAAGCGTAAGTATGACGTCAGTGTGTACAATGAGGTACTAAAATGCGCTGCAGGATAGAAAATGACATCACGAACTTCTCTATCTCGGAATCGGCGTTGCATAAGTTGGCTTTGACTTCTAAGAATCTGGAACGGCTTAATGCTCTTAGCACTAACAGCATTGGGGTTAATGGAAATAACTCGACCTCGTCCACGGTAGAAGAGAGTGCGGTTCTACAGGAAAAAACGTCACCGAATAGGAGAAGGAGGCTCAAACTTAAAAAGAAATCTTTGGTAAGGGATTCGTTTTTTAAATATGTCAAATTCATTAATAGAAGCAGATTTGGAAAACTTATAAGGCCCGAACTGCTTTTTTAAAACTTATTTTAAGACACTATTCTAACGTAAATGTGTTTTTAGTGCGGAAAACTAGATGTACATGCACCCTACAGTCCGATCGCTTGTCCAAAAACTCGAAATTTCTTAATAAAGTCGGGCTCTTTCTCTGGATGTAGCACTAAAATTAATTATAATGAACGGCATACTTCAAGCGACCCGCCTGCTGTGGATTCGTACCACAAGGGAAAATATGAAACGTCTACTACAAGTGGTGCAGATAGTGAAGAAGATCACAGCAAGCGGTATTTAGGTTCAACTGCATTGTTTTAGGGTTCTTATTTTTTGCTTTTAGGATGCCGACTTTTAAGTTAGGTTCTAAAACACACTACCTCAACCCTAATCTTAGGAATTCTAGTCCGGGCAAGAGTAGTCTAAATACGACGGAAGAACAGAGCAGTTCTTTGTCGGAACAGGCGGCTTGGGACAGCTATCAGGTGTGTTATTTCGATTTTTTATAATTTGTGAGAAATATAAGTATTTATGTTTTTTATTTCATGTAGTGTTTCTATGCTCTAAACGAAACTAGAAATCAGTTTAAAGTTTTCTAGTTTCATTCTTGGACAAATCTAGTTTTCTTCATGGAAGTCTCTCATTCGTGGAAATCTAGACTAGAATTTTTTCAAATGTCACGTGTGAAAAATTTAATGCAATCAAAATCGTCGCCTCGAACTTCGTATAAAAACGATGTCTATCAAACTATATGTAATTGTTTAAAAGCCATTTGGTTAATAAGGATTATGCTTTTTATTTTGCCATGTTACGTTAAATTGTTTTGATCTTTAAGTGAAACTCGATTAAACTGTGCTCATTTGACGTGGATTTTTTATGTGACCCTAAAATTGTAAAAAACTAAATTATCCACGTTATACTTTTATGGTTATTTTGAAAAATATATTAGGCAGCAGATTTTGGCAAAATTTTTCGAATTTATCCAACTCTTGGTGGACCTAGCTACATATCAATTATATTAAAATTAGTATTGTATTTCTCAAAAATGACAAAAATATCGTCCACATACTTAAGTGTAATCTCTGAAATTTTCAAGTTCTTCCTATAAATCTGTTTCAAATATGTCTAGAAAATCAAGCTGTTGGAAAAAACCCTGTTGAATTGAAAACTGTTGTTTCATATAAACATTTCACGTTTCATTTTTTGTTCCAGACAGTTTTGAATCAGCACATCTTTAAAATAAACTAATTAATGGATTGTTTCTATTCGATTCAGTTGTTTAATCATCTCCACCAATAATGTGATGGCATGACTTAAAAATTGTCTAAAATAACGTAGTCCTACACATGTGGTTTATGACTCCGTCTTAAGTTTTTACCCGAAACGTCCAGATTATCAAAATATATTTGCTTATCCCGTCCAAAAAACAGACGACGTCAGGTCAACATTTTACCGAATAAATCTATACTTGCAATTTAACATTCCATTCATATTTTTGGGATTTGCGTCTACAGGGTGGCTCAAAAAAATTATGAATGCGTGAATTTATTTTATTGATTTAATCAGGAACTGCAAGACTGAATGCTTTGAAATTTTTGAGATCTTTTAAGCATGGTAAATTTTTGTTCAAAATGTATTTTCTCATCCCCCCTAAAAAATTGATGATGTCACCTCAAAATTTTGCTAAATAAATCCTATCTTAAATATGCAAACTACATATGGTTAGTCTATACTTGTAATTTATCATTGCATTCATATTTTTAAGATTTGCTTATACAGGGCGACTAAAAGAAATAATAAATCCGTTTATTCTATTGAATGAAATCAAGAATTGCAAAACTGAATACTTTGAAATTATGCAGACGTTTTAAAGTTATTGTAAACATGGTAAATTTTTGATCAAAATGTATTTGCTCATCCCCCCTAAAAAAATTGATGACGTCACCTCAAAATTTTGCTAAATAAATCCTATCTTAAATATGCAAACTACATATGGTTAGTCTATACTTGTAATTTATCATTGCATTCATATTTTTAAGATTTGCTTATACAGGGCGACTAAAAAAAAATAATAAATCAGTTTATTGTATTGATTAAAATCAAGAATTGCAAAACTGAACACTTTGAAATTATGCAGACGTTTTAAAGTTATTGTAAACATGGTAAATTTTTGTTCAAAATGTATTTGGTCATCCCCCCCTAAAAAAATTGATGATGTTACCTCAAAATTTTGCTAAATAAATCCTATCTTAATTGTGCAAAATATGATCAGTCTACACTTGAAATTTATCATCATTGCCTTCATTTTTTTAGATTTGTTTATACAGGGTGACTAAAAAAAATAATAAATCTGTTTATTCTATTGAATGAAATCAAGAATTGCAAAACTGAATACTTTGAAATTATGCAGACGTTTTAAAGTTATTGTAAACATGGTAAATTTTTGTTCAAAATGTATTTGCTCATCCCCTCTAAAAAAATTGATGACGTCACCTCAAAATTTTTCTAAACAAATCCTATCTTAAATATGCAAAATACATATGATTAGTCTATACTTGTAATTCATCATTGCATTTATATTTTAAAGATTTGCTTATACAGGGTGACTAAAAAAATTAGTAAATCAGTTTATTCTATTGAATAAAATCAAGAATTGCAAAACTGAATACTTCGAAATTATACAGACGTTTTAAAGTTATTGTAAACGTGGTAAATTTTTGTTCAAAATGTATTTATTTGCTCATCCCCCCCCCCCCCCTAAAAAAATTGATGACGTCATCTCAAAATTTTGCCGAATAAATCGTATCTAAAATGTGCAAAACATGGGTTTGTACTTGTGATTTACCATTGCATTCATATTTTTCAGATTTGCTTAAACAGTTGGCTCAAATTTCTTTTATTGATTAAAGCAGGAACGGGTCACTCCATTTTCCCAGAAAATTTCGGAATACAATACTGTTATTTTTAGTATTACACTGCACCAATCCAAGTGTCGTTGCAAAAATGTAGATGACGTCATCACAAAATTGTGTAAAGAAAAAACTCAACTCGAAAAACTGGATATGTTTCATTGTACTTTAGGTGCGAGGGAAGTTCGAAACAACTTTGGACCATTTTTTTATAATTTGTGAGAAATATAAGTGTTTACGTTTTTTTATTTCATGTAGTGTTTCTATGCTTTAGGCGAAACTCGAAATCAATCATTTTAAAATCATCATGTATTTCAGGAATTTTCTAAAGAGTTTCATTCTTGAACAAATCTAGTTTTCTTTATGGAAGTCTCTCATGTGTGGAAATCTAGTCTAGAATTTTTTCAAATGTCACCTGTGAAAGCGCTCATGTGACATAGATTTTTTTATATGTGGCATTAAAATTGTGAAAAAGTGTGGTTATTTTCAAAAATACATTTAACGACAGATTTCGGCAAAATTCTTCAAAATATATATAAATTATGTCAGTATTGTGTTTGTCGAAAATGACAAAAATATCGTCCACATACCTAAATAAAATTTCGGAAATTTGCAAGTTTTTCTTATAAATCTCTTATGTCGAGAAATCAAGTTGTTGGAAAAAAAACCGTTGAATTGAAAACGGTTCTGAATTAGCACATTTTTTAAATTAATTAATGAATGCTTTGATAATAAATAACCCTTTTATATAAAATAACAACTTTATTATCTTCCGTACCGTTTAAACTTTTGAAAATTATTTTTTCAAGAAATACTTATTTAATGAAATTGAGCTAGTCATAAGAAAATTGATTTACCGTGGTTACAATAACTTTAAAACGTTCATGATATTCAATTATAAAATGTTACAAATTTTAATAGTTTATTTTTCCAAAAATCTCATGCCTAGAATGAAAAGTCAACAAGGATTCATAAACAACAAGTGCAGGAGTACTTTATTTTATAAAATTTTAATTTTTTATTTTAATTAATAAACATTTTAAGGTTATCGTAATCAGGGTTAATCATTAATCAAAATTTATTCGTTCATCCCTTTCCAAAAAATTGATGACTTTAAAATTTCGCCGAATAAATCCTCTCTAAAATTTGCAAAATATTATGAGCCTTTACTTGTGATTTAGCATTGCATTCAGATTGCAAATACAGGGTGTTTAAAAATAATAATGAGCCAATTTATTTTATTCATTAAATCAGGAACTACAAACCCTAATGCTTTGAAAGCTTTGCAGACGTCTTGAAGTTGTCGTAAGCATGGTAAATTTTTAAGCAAAATATTTTTGCTCATCCCCCTGAAAAATTGAATCTAAAACGTGTAAAATATGATGAGTCTATATTTGTAATTATCCATTGTATTAATATTTTGTAGGATTGCTTATACAGGGTGACTCAAAAAAACTTTTAGGTGTTTTCAGAAAAAAATCATATTTGCAAAATCAAGTTTAATAATTTTTCGAAAAAACTGGTTCCAGAAAAATAATGTCTAGAGGAAAAACTAAACACGATTCATGAACTACAAGTGTAGAAGTATCCTATTTTATAAAATTTAAATTTTATAAAATTCCGTTGGATTGAAAAGTGTTATACTTCATACAAACATCTGTCTCAATGGTTTATTTTTATCAACTATTACCCCTTTTTTCCCTTATTATCGTATTTTTCGTTGAAAGTACAGACATGACGTTTCTCAATTGTGTCTTCATCAATAAACCTTTCCATTTTTTTAAGTAGTTTTAGTTTCATCTTGTTGCAAAGTGTTAATATATTGTTTTACTTTCAGGAGAAATATTTATCTGAAGCTTACAGCGAAACTCACGATTCGGACGCCGCTCGAAGGTTGTTGGAATTTGGCGAAGACTACAGAAACTTCCTCGACAGTCAGTCCGACTGGTCGACCAACCCCGACTTCTCGCCGACATTCAGAAGACGAACTTTGGTGGCTTTCACTTCCCCCGAGTCCGACAGCGACACAGAATCTCTACGCCAATTGCTTAACGAGTCTCGGGATCAGTTGAACTATACTAAAAACATTTACAACCAGCAGGTGTCTTTGGGAATTAACGAATATTTAGTGGCTAACGAAATTGTAAGAACGAGTTCGACTTTGTAGTAAATCGGCGTCTGACGCGTTTGTTTTTAGGATGAAATGATTTCTACATGCGATCGTCACATCGATGTGTTAAATGACGTGGAAAAATCGTCAGACGAGCTTCAAATGTCCAAAGCGGACAAAGGAATCTTGGCAGGTAGGAACTGGTTTCCTAATCCATTTTCCTACACTTGGAGATCCTTATCTTCTTTCCTGTTAAGAAAATTGTTAGGATTTCTCATTTATATTTTTCTTAAAATAGGACGATTAAGTAAACTGAAAATTGTTTAGACCAGTTTTTGTTAATAGTTTTATTTTGCATGGAGAATATTTGTATTCTGGATTATTTTGCAATTCTTGCCTTATAACAGCATGATTTTTGCATTAAATTATTTTTTGCTTATATTCGCTTTTTATGCCCCTTTATCCTGTCTCCTTCTTCTCGAACACTGGCGAAAGAGTGCATTCTTCCTTGGCATGACACTGAAAATCCATCTTTGACACAGGAAAAGCTGGGAAAATATTTTGTTACGCGGCGCGGAAATACGAAAATAGTAGTCGTCGAAATTTAAATTGTAAAATTGGGAAATTTGTAATAATGCATAAATTAGACGCCCACAGCTAATACCCACAGAGACCAGTTATAAACATTCAGTTTTACGCTAAACTTCCAGCTGTTGGGAAGTTGCTATGTAAATATGCTAGTGACTGTAATGAGATTTTAGTTGCTAACTCATAGTGTATCGTGCTTTGTGATATTCACTACAGTGATAGTCAGGTAGGTTTAATTTCAGTAGCTATGATTATTTCATCATTCACTATGACTAAAACGACTACAATGCCCCTAATCATTCCATACTCATAGATAACAGTGGAATAAATATTTACAACAAATATATTTTCTCGTTTTTCCTGTACTAAACCCACAGTCACAAAAAAAAATCGCCACTACATCGTCCGTTTATTTTCCAGAACTTCTAATCCAGTGGACCACTTTAAGAATGAACGTATCGAAAATGCAAGAACACAGAACCCTACAAAAAGACATCCTCCAGATGAAAAACTCCCTTTTAACGATAGAAATCCCGACTTCCGACTGCATTCTCAATTTGGGCTCTGTAGACGATCTTCCCAAAGAAGTAGAATACTGCGAGGTAAGTCACATTTAAGACATCGTTACACAAATTTATATTTATTGTAACCAACTGGAACCAGTTTGGACACGTTCAAAGGTGCGATAAAAATAGAAAAATGGCAGATGGTGACTCACCGCACACATTTATTTATATTTACATTTACATAATACCCTACTTTGTTACATATTTTTAAAGCAATAAAACCTGCAAGGATACCGATTCAAATTCGCTCGATCGCCGATCGTAAACGAGGTCGCCATAAATCAGCGCGAGCAAATTTCACAGAGATGGGTAAAAGTACCCCACGGCGTCATACAAAGTTCCAATTTGGGGCCTCTGCTTTCACTGTAGCGATTTATGACTTCATGCTAGATAGTTTTTTATAGAAAATGTTTGCAGTTTATGTTGGATGTTAATGTAATCGCCTTTTTTATTACCGCTTTATGTTCACAAAACCGTTTTATTTGTGTACGCATTCAAACACACTTGTTTATTTTTGGGAATTTATAAAACTCATTGTAAAACTTATTTTTGTTCGCTAAAAATAAATTTTGGGGCTTTACGAATTGATCTTTTTAGTGGTAGTGACAACTCATATCAGTTTTGTATTTATTATAATATTGACACGTGGATGGATGCTTCATTTCCCACTTAGTATAATACTTACACACTTTTTTTTCAATATGATAGTCGTAGTTTGTAAGTTAATCTTAAAAAGCCGAAAACACTACTAATGTCATTCATATAAAGTGAAAAAGGAGTAAGTTTGAGATGAGATCCTTGTCGATGTCCCGAATTTACGTTTAACAAGAGATCCTATTTCTTGTTAAATCAAATGAAATTTTTTAAGTTTCGCAAAAATGTATCAAATTTGAAAACGATGGTAACTAAAATCCACCCTTTATTTTTTTTTAAGACAATAACTATAACAACCAGAAGTTATTAATCGTTCGGTATTATTAATAGCACAAGTTGTTATTTTTCATTAATAAATTAACAAAAAAAAAAAACATTTAATAAGACATTTATGAATTATAAACAAAACAAAACCAACAAAAGAAACATCCATTAAAGCATAACCAACTAAACACAAGAGAAGATGTGAAAAATTCCTGCTTTGTGCATATAAGTAAGGTCGTAGTGTTTCCAAATTTTGATAATTCGTCGGCTGAGAATTATTTTAAACCAACAAGTCCCTAAAAACTTTGTCATGGAAATTACCCATCAAAATTTTAATCGTGTGCTATAGATTTTGTAATGCAAAATAATACTTACCATTACTACTAAATATTTTAATTATTGTTGTATTTATTGCCGTACTACTTGGCATATCCATTGTTATGTTTTTTTTTTTTTAGTTTTGTACTTTTTCCATTATTATGGAAATTACAATAATTTCAGAATAATGCAAAAAGTGAAAATGGACTTGGTTCAAAAGTGTGCAAAAAATATTACTAGAATTTTGTTTATTGAACCATGTCCGTTGTAATAACAAGAATGAATACATACATATCAAAATAAATTTTTAATTTAAGATGATACAAAATATTTAATATGTAGGTAAATAACTGGAAACATTATTAACTTCATTTAATGGAAAATTTGTGAAAAATCTACTAAATATTATAGATAGCCATATATTTAAGCATAGCTTTAATGTCGTTTGCCTTCTTTTTTTCCATTACTGGATTAAAATTAGTAATTAAAAAGCACGAAATTTCTACAAAATGGTGTAATTTTTTGAAATGAAATACTTCATCATGTTTTAAGCAAATTTCTCGTTGAAAAATAAGGATTTTACAATTAAGTTCCACCCCTCGGCTTATAACGAATAAAAAAAATCATCAGAATTGAGATAGGGCGGGTGGGCGGTACTTATATTTTGCCTTTTTTTTTAATATACAGAGCCATCTTTTCACAACAAGAAACTTAGAACATAGTTAAAATGGCAATATGAATTTTGCAACAAATATTTTTACTTTTAAAATTACTCATATTTAATAACACAAATACAACCAGCGGGCCTACCGGACCCGGGTTGCTCAGGTACACAGATAAAATGCATTGCCCCGGATAAGGGTAAAACGCAGTGAATAGTGAATTGTGGTTTATGGTTTTTAAAATACCATCTTACCATGGCTTAGATCTATTACCCCTCAGGATTATATTTAAAGATACGTATAAGTACTGAAGGCTACAATGTAGGAAATGATGGTATTTAAAATATGAAAATTTCCTTGACAGAACACTATTAGTGGATCTCTTACCTCTATTTTTGTTTATGTGACCAAAATCACCAACATGAAGTATCAAAAATTACCACTAGTATAACTCAACTAATAACTACTGAAAAAAAAAGTGAAATAAAAAAATGTATCTGTATCTGCGCCATTAATTTTGTATCTAGATGCAGATATTTTGTGCTTAAATTCGATTGTATCTAGATACGGATACTTGATACCCAAAAATGTATTTAGATACTTTTTTTAGATACAAGTATCTAGATACTGCCCAACACTGATGGCTAGTAGATAATGCTTGATTTTGATATGAAATAGGACAAGGTACAATATAATTCTACAAAATCGAACGAAATAGGACTTGGTTCAAATAAATACTTCAACTAATTGCTTTTACTGTAAATGTAGAAAGTTATACTCTTTCAAAACGGGAGACTGTATGATACAAAATCTATTATTTAAGAAAAAATGGACTTGGTTCAAAATAATTTTCAGCCGACGAATTTTTGTAAAAGTTAGATAAAACTGATTTTGGCAGTGACATACATTCTAAGAAAAGTAGGGTGGGTGGGCGGGCCTAGTACTTGCCTAGGCACGATTAATTTGGCAAATGATATACCTTTCCTCTTGGAGGTTACGTCATTTGCTAAAATCAGTTTTATCTTAGCAGGTACTAATAATTATTAAGAGCGTAGCGAAGAGTTAATCCGCCATTTTCCAGACACCTGGTATAAATTGTAAAAACAGAGGGTCCAAGGCGAGAGCTCTATTGAGTTTCTAAATTTCCATTTAAGGTCCTCACTTTATTAATATACATAAATGAGGTTTTGTTTTGTTCATAATAATAGTAATAATAATCAACTTGTACGGAATTATTAAGTTGACTGACTCTAAACAAAAACTTTAATTTCAATACAATCTCCTACTTAACCAAAATATCTTCATTTACTTGTCTTAGTAAAGTAATTTACATACATTATTAACTACATTAAGTAATAGTTTCTCATAATTTTAATTTAAACATGAAATTTACATTGCCTTTGTGTTATTCTGTGCAAAGTTGCTTTCAAATTTCGTGGACTGAGAAAGAGCGCTGTAATTTTTGCAGCGCAGATGTCGTAGTGTGGACGGTTCGTGTCCGCGCTCAACTCCTTTGAAATTAAATTTACTTCCAACGGATAGATGGCGCCGTATCCTCGAACCAATAACCCGCGTTTTTTCGTGGGTTTTTATTTATCCATGGAGCTTCAATGACCTAAAATAATAATTAACGCCATTTTTTCGCATGTAAATATCCGGAATTTTCGAAACCTCCTCACCCGACAAAAAACTAGGATGCTATAAATATTTACAGCATCTCGAGCTTGCTCGCTTTCGTTCCCTAGTTTGAAAAAAAATATAAGAGTGGATTATATAGTGCAAATTTGAATCGATATCGATCTGAGGACGTGTAGAGAAGTCGAAGCCGGCATACGAGGGCAGCATTTGTACTCCGTACTGGTGGTGCAAGATTAAGACTTGGACGTGTCTGCAAGCGAGCCGTGATGGAGGCCCTACGTCGTTACGGAGTCCCGTCACGTACTCGGCCGTAGCAGTAGCGCGACACGGGTACGCTTTTATCGTCATTTCAAACTGAAAATATCACACACCACCAGTTTTTAGTTTGAAGTATCGTTTAATTCCAGACGCCATAAAAACGGCCTCTTTTGAATTAACACAAAGACTGCCGACTGCGCCAAAAAAGCATCAGCGAAAGTCGCTTGCATATGATTGCGATTTTCGGGGTTATTGGCGAGAATTGGTGATAAATGAGCGTTGGTGCGTTTTGCTGTACCTCGTCGAAGGCAGCTGATTATGCTGCATGCCGCTGTCAAGTTTGTAGATTCGATAACCGCAATTTGGCACAGGGCTTGGGTAAATACATGGCCCTACAACACGACCACATTGGTATGCCGCTTGTAAAACTTGCTGCAGACACGCATTCCAATGTAATTCAATTTACAATCAACAGCCAATCAATTGATTCGAATTCAGTACAGTTCTGTACAAAACCGAGAGTAATCGACGCTCTTTTTACCTTTGCTCCTATTTCGAGATTCTAACAACGCGATTTTTCTTCACCTTGCACCATATTCGGAGAAGAATAGAATTTTTGCTCTATTGTCAACGCAGGCTATAGAGTGTGGGATACGGGTCAGGATATTCACTTTCCAGGATCATTAAAATTCTTCGGCGTATTGCACTCCTTAATAATGTTTACCCCGTGCCAGAAATACATTATATTCACAGTTTTTTACTTCAAGTACTAATTATTATTCGTTCGATTAATTGAGGGAATATAATTAGGCCGAGCGAAGCGCCTGACATGTTTAATTCCATATTAAAAAAAAAAAGTTCCGTCGGCCTCAGTGTAAATAAATCCACCACTCGTTCCATCGCTTTTCATTAATTCGTAAACCAACGAAATATTGCAATCTAGTAGTGACTCCTAGAGTGTGAAAAAATAGGTCTCCCGTTTTCATCTGGTGTCTGTGTCGATGTTTATTGGTATTTTTGTAATTTATGTGTATTTTAACACCACCACCAATTTTTTAGCGTCACCTCAAAATTTTGCATGGTAAATGCTATTTTAATTTTATAAAATAACATACTCATGTCCTTGTGGTTTATGGATCCGGTTGATTGAGTTTTTACCCTAAGCATCCAGATTTTCGTAAAAAAAAAACAAAAAACAATTTTTCGCCGTACTAAATTGCTTTATAATTCGATTATGTCTGTGGAGCATATTATTATTATCATCTGAGGCATATAGAAGGTGTTTCAGAACTGTAAAAATTGGTCATATTTAAACAGAGCTTCCCTTGCCCCTGAAGTATATTATTGTGAGTAAGTAACTCTTATTATAATACTATTTTGTTGTTATTAAATATAGGTGGGCGCAACATTACTGTGTTCCCAAATTTTAAAAGATTATTTAGACAAAAATTTTTCGAAAAATTTTAAAATTTGATTTTGCAAAGTTCTATTTATTTTGTGATAACCCTTATAAGTAAACATAAATGGATTAAACAAGTCAGAAATCAGAATCAATCATAAATCCAATTCACACATTTTTGTAAAATATTTATGATATAAATCAAGGCGGATTCATAAACCACGAGCAAAATGATAATGAAATTGTTAATGGGGAAGATCAGGCAAATTTTTGTTAACGTTTTACTATTTATACGATATTCCTAAAATACATACAAAATTTGGCAATAATCAGTCAGGTAGTTTCGGATATTGTCTGTCTAATAAAAATCGACACGCGAAACCTACTTTTTCATACTTCACGAGACATCCAGAAAACATGAAAGTAGCCGCTCCTCCGATGGAACCTATTATAATACTTAGCGTACGTTTGTGAAGCAAAAATTAAGGTGGGTTCCAAACCCGCACAATAAGAGCACAAATTCGACATAAGTAATCATGATTAAAATCAAGGCGGATTCATAGACTACGAGTACTACAGAAATGTAAGCAAAGGAAGTATTGTAATCAAGTCGTCGGCCGACTCTCTACTTTTACATTTTCTCGACCTTTCATGACCCCTAGAAGATGAAGAAATAGATCTCCCGTTTCCGTCTGTCTGTCTGTCTGCAATCCCGGATTTTTATCAGACAGATAATCTCCGAAAGTATTAAGCCGGTTGTTGTCAAATTTTGTATTTACATTAGGAATATCATGTAGATGGTATCACTAATGTCATGACGTTACTTCAAAATTGTACATAGTAAATGGGTTTTAAAATGTATAAAATAACATAATCCTAAACATGTAGTTTATGACTCTGAATTGAATTTTTACCCGAAACGTCCAGATTTTTGGAAAAAAAAAATCGAAACATTTTGCAATTTAATTAGAAACTGCAAAACCAAATGCTTTGAAATTTTGGACACGTTTTAAAGTTATCATAAGTATCGTAATTTTTATCAAGATAACAATAAAAAATTGGTCTAAAGAGTTTAGACAGTACTTCCCTCGCTGTCGGAAACGTGACGACTGAATGTCTATTATGTTTTTTTTTTCGCAGTATTATTTTTTTGAGTCACCCGGTATATGCAAATTCAAAAAATATGAATGGAATGATAAATCACAAGAAAAGACTCATCATATTTTGTACATTTTAGATAGGATTTATTTAGCAAAATTTTGTGGTAACGTCATAATTTTTTTAGGGGGCATGAGCAAATACATTTTGATCAAAAACTTACCATGCTTATGATAACTTTAAAACACCTTCAAGATTTCAAAGCATTCGGTTTTGTAGTTCCTGAGTAAATCAGTAAAATAAATTTACGCATTCATTAATTTTTTTGAGTCACCCTGTATATGCAAATCCAAAAAATATGAATGGAGTGATAAATTACAAGTACAGACTCATCATATTCTGTACAGTTTGGATAGGATTTTTTCGGCAAACTTTCGAGCTGATGTCATCAATTTTTTGGAGGGGATAAGCAAAAATATTTTGACCAAACATTTATTATGCTCTTTATAACCTTAAAACATTGCAAGATTTCAAAGCATTCGGTTTTGTAGTTCCTGATTAACTCAATAAAATAAATTCACGCATTTATTAATTTTTTTGAGTCACCCTGTATATGGAAATCGAAAAAATTTCAATGGAATGATAAATGACAAGAAGAGACTCACCATATTTTGTACATTTTAGATAGGATTTATTCGGCAAATTTTTGTGGTGACGTCATAAATTTTTTAGGGGGGATGAGCAAATACATTTTGATTAAAAACTTACCATGCTTATGATAACTTTAAAACACCTTCAAGATTTCAAAGCATTCGGTTTTGTAGTTCCTGAGTAAATCAGTAAAATAAATTTACGCATTCATTAATTTTTTTAGTCACCGTGTATATGCAAATCCAAAAAATATGATTGGAGTGATATATCATAAGCACAGACTCATCATATTTTGTACATTTTACATAGGATTTATTCGGCAAACTTTTGAGCTGACGTCATCAATTTTTTGGAGGGGATAACCAAATATATTTTGACTAAAAATTTATGATGCTCTTTATAGCCTTAAAACATCTGCAACATTTCAAAACATTCGGATTAGCAGATTCAAAATTAAATTGCAAAATGTTGTTTTATAATTTTGATTTTTTTTTCGAAAAATCTGGACGTTTCGGGTAAAAACTCAATTCGGAGTCGTAAACTACATGTTTAGGACTATATTATTTTATACAATTTAAAACCCATTTACTATGTACAATTTTGAAGTGACGTCATCACATTAGTGGTGGGGATGATTAGACAAATTTTGGTTAGCGTTTTACCATCTACATGATATTCCTAATATAAGTACAAAATTTCACAACAATCGGTCCAGTACTTTCGGAGATTATCTGTCTAATAAATATCCGGGACGGCAGACAGACGGACAGACAGACAGACAGACAGACGGACAGACGGAAATGGGAGACCTATTTCTTCGTCTTCTAGGGGTCATGAAAGATCGAGAAAACGTAAAAGTAGAGAGTCGGCCGACGGACTCGATTACAATACTTCCTTTGCTTACGCTCGGGAAGCAAAAATTGATGACATCACCCCAAAATTTTGCTGAATAAATCCTATCGAAAATGTTCAAAATATGATGAATCTGTACTTGTGATTTATTATTTCATTCATACTTTCTGAATTTGCATACACATGGTTCCTCAAAAAAAAAATAATGAATGCGTAAATTTATTTTATTGATTTAATCAGGATCTACAAAATCGAATGCGTTGAAAACTTGGAGATGTTTTAAAGTTATCATAAGCATGGTAAATTTTTGATCAAAGTCTATTTGTTCATCCCCATCCCCCCCCCCCCAAAAATTGATGACGTCACCCCAAAATTTTGCTGAATAATCCTATCTTAAATGGTCAAAATATAATCAGTCTGTACTTGTAATTTATAATTGCGTTCATATTTTTTAGAATTGCTTATACAGGGTGACTCAAAAAAATTAATAAATCAGTCAATTAATAATTCAATACTTCGAAATCTTATAGATAGACGTCATCTAATTGTAGGTGGGGTTCATTAAACCAATTTTGGTGAACGTTTTACCATCTACACAATATACCTAACATGCCTATAAAATCTGACAACAATCGATTCGGTAGTTTCGCGACTATGCGCCAATAAAAACAGACAGACAGATAGGCGGAAAGGCGAGACCTATTTTTACGTATTTTAGGTGTCATGAGCGTTGAGAAAACATAAAAGTAGCCAACCAAAAGTATTCTAATAGGATCCATCTGTGATTGGCTACTGTCATGTTTTCTCGGAAGTAACAGTGGCCAAACATTTTTGACAACGTGCAATACATGAAAATTTTCTCTCTTAAAAACGTATTCGCACAGAGTATTTTCGCGTCAACTGGAATTCTGTCTAATGAACGATGAGGATTATTTAATAATGTTTTAAGGTGACGTATTGTACGTCATTTTTGTATTGTACAAGGTGTGAAACGCCAGAAAACACGAAGTCAGACATTGTCGAGTGACCCTCGGGAAGAAAGAACTCAAAGTAAGGTTAGGCACTTTCGAAAACTTACCCCACAGTTCGTTCGGAATCTAATTTAACACCGCTGAATAGTTGGGGGGTTGGTTAGGGTGCATCCTTTTTTGTTTAGCCCGACAATCAAAGAAAAATTACTAATCACCGGATGCTGGTATATTCAATTCAGCTAATGCCTCGTTTGCTCTAAATTTGCAACGAACTGTTTGAGATACAGCCCGTCTAAAAATTAGAGATTCGTGTGAGTGCCCTGCTTTGCGTAAATAATGCACCTTAAGTGCCCATAAAGATAAATAATGAAATTAATCGGAATTCGGGCGTGTAGAGTGCGCAGGTGCGAAACGCAAGTGTTGCGTAGTAAAATTCGTGGTGATAGTTTAAAATATTCAAGGGCGAGTTTGATGATCCTTGCAGGTCACCACCTTCAGTTGATCCCCTGGGGGTTTTCAAGAGCAGTTCCTTTTCGTCCAACTTGCAACTGCCTCGGCGGTCATATATTCCATGTCGTGGTCCGGCGACGTTGATGGCCACATGTATATAAATTACTTAAATTTATGACCGAGCGTAGACACGAACTGGGTTTTAGATATCGAGAAAGCGAATTTTTAGCGGATTAACGTGGTCCTTATTGTTTCAGAAAAAATTGGAAGATATTTATGAGTTTAAGAAGAAGCTGCTGGCGCTCAACGTGGCGGTGCATCGGTTCGTCGTAGAAAACAAAGAATATAACGCGTCGTGTCTGAAGACTGACATCTCGGAGCTGTATCGCATTTGGGACAATTTGTGTACGACGTAAGTATTAATCGATGGTTGAACGGATTAATCAGAGGATTCGTTCGATGGGCAATTTTTTTGGGTCGAGGTTTGTGTAGTTCTCACGATGTTGGGAGTACAATGTCCAGTAGGTGCGTATGCAGTAGTACCAAGTATTTTGTAATTAGTATTCCGGTGTGGAAAATCTCCCCTCTGCTCGTCCCCTGCTGGGCGACTACATGACGACAGCTGCACCCACATATAACGTGGTTTGTTTTACAAGTATCATCAAATCTATTTTACAATGTGACATTTTTACCGTACGTCAGCGTGATTTATTTCGGAATATACCTGCGTCGAGGTAGGCCTTTGCATAACGCGCCATTACATCTCCTCATTTTTATTTGTTGTCATAACTCTCTTGGCATACGTCGAAGCGCAAATTCATCAGCGAAAACACGGAAAGCTCGACGTTCCGGGGCGATATAATAAATGATTCATTAAAGTGGGGAATATGTTGTGACCTCCGCCTAAATAATCTCCCGAGAGCTGAATGATTATTGCCCCGAGCTGGATACACCCCTCACGGACGGAATTCATTTCTTGAACAAATGTTGACCTACATCACCGACCACTCACTCACCATTGGAAACTGGCAACCCCTAAGTAATTGGTACCGACGATTTCATCGCCCCGAATGTGTCTCCGTCTGATTGATTCGTCAATAAAGGCCGATTTACTCATAATCTCCCTTTACTACTTTTTTCTGGAATCTCGCTTTCTTTTTATAGCACTAACGAACGCCTGGCTCAACTCAAACCCCTGCTACAACAGTGGAAAACGCTCGACAATAGACTCGAACAGTTACAAGTGGATTTACGCAGTGATGAGAAAACATTGCATCTTCTCGACACCGCGCTACAGGGAGGTGCACTATCTGATCAAACGGCGACCTACGTTCGGGACGTCGCCAAATTGCTATCCGAAACCACCACCATCCAGGTGAGTCGCTACTTTCTCCCCAACGCACACTAGAACGAAGACAAAAATATATGACCAAAATTCAAAATCGTTTTGGTCGCATCAGTACAACGCATCGCAATTAAAAGCAACTTGTAACGCAATATCATTAATGTATATGCGAAAACCAGCGGTCCCTAGCTGGATCCTTGGGGTATGAGGAAAAATGTTTAAGACAAATTACAATACTTACCATTTTAGTACATTTTTACGATTTTGGCCACATATTTTCGTTTTCGTTCCACTGTCGACCGGAACGCCGTTTGTCGAATTTCCAGCAAAAACTTAAGCGAAATTTACGTCCTGGGGTGGTTAACCCAGAATGTCCGGCGATCCGAGTGCATAATTCAGGGATACTTACGCGTCGGAAATAAAAAACTCCCAACTGAGTCAGAATATAAAGTTTTATTTACATGTATGCGGCCTCTCGCCGCTCCTGAAATATAAAGTGATACAATATGTATATGAGTAATTTGGTCGCAAGCTCCATGATGGCAGACAGGATGCTTTGCGACGCCGCGGATGGGTCTGACCAACGTAATGCTGCTGTTTCCGGATCGTTAATCGTGCTCCTGTTGATTTTCTGGTCACGTATCTTGAATGTTCCACGGAATCAGCGTAAAAATACAAATTTAATATCGGATCGGAGAGCTTAACTTCGGCCCGGAGGTCAAGCTTTACTACATGCCTACAGGATAGTCAGATTATTACCCACGATTTCCACCGGCGACCTTGCGGAAAACCCATGTTTATGTAAACGAAAACTGCCCACCCAAATTTCTCTAAACGCCCTCCGACCGATCGATCCGCACCCCACAATAAACGCCAAATAAATCAATTCGAGACTCCACTACAAAAAATTCAGAGATATTGCTCGCGCTTGCACCCGATTCCCTGGGAGATGTACAAATAACACGCCAGATGGTGGATGCCCGCCGCAAACTTGCCCACGAATACGAAACGCCGAATTTTAGGCCCCGCGCATCCAAATTTTACAAAAAACACCTAAGAAGCCATAAATCGACGCGGACACGCTTATGCGAGCCCTGTCAAATTGAAATTTAACCAACCTGAACATTAAAGGGTGGGCAACCCTTAATCTGCTAATTAAACTATCTAAAAGTAATAATCAGTTCTGACCTTTGGAATTCCCCCTTGTGTTGCAGCATGTGGGGTGCCCATACCAGCCCCACGCCCTATCCGCCGTTAGGTTTTAAAGCAACACATCATAAGGAAGAAAAAATTGTTTTTTCCGGACATCGGGTATTAGGTTGTTCCAACACCTCCACCCGTGTGACCTGACCTGACCCGTCCCGTCCCGGTGATCCCAGTATTTTGTTTTCTTGAGTCTAGTATCCGGGTATCGTTGAACCAATTAGGGTAGAGAAAAGGCTAGCCCTGGAAAGTTCTCGCAGAGTATCGTTTTCGTCAAAAAAGGTTACAAGGTTAAATTACCCGTCGTCGAGTCGGACGTTTTTACCCACTAGGAGATCCCGTTTTGAGACTCGTGGGACCTTCAACCCGTAAACCTGGCAAAACCGGGCCGGCGTTCCGCTTAAGGGATTTAATGAATCTCATGGTCCGTCCCGTTAGACGGGAAAAAAGTGGTTGTTGGGTTTGACTTCTCCCGAAGCACACCAAAATACCTTGACCAATACTAAGCGTCGGGCCTTAATGCTGTCTTTGGGTTCCAAGGTATACTGTCTTGTTGGACCTTTAAAATATTCGGGCAAGTTAACGTTTTTAATCGATGGGCGTTAATTGTTGTCGATTCATCGACGGTGTGTATTCGCGCGCGGTACGCCTTCTTGCCACTAAATCACTTCTATTTTGAGAGCTGAAATCGGCATAGATTGCGAAGCAACCGTTATTGTAATTGATTTCGCCGAGAAAAAAAGAGGCGATCTGTTGCGAACACGTCTTGCCTTCGTTGTACTGTTGTAAGTAAATATTTTTTCTTGTTGTGCTTATTATTGTGTGACTACTGGCTTTATTATTTATCTGATGGCTATTAGTTGCACGGTTATTAGCGTCAGCGCTGCGATAATCGGGGTCGATGTAATACAAGGCCGAGAGTCATTGGTATTTTAGCGATGATTTTCGCGCGTAGTGACATGGTGGCAGCCGGCAGATGCTCCTGCCTTTGCCCATCACCCCTGAAATCTGTTTAGTATGCGGCGCTGTGCTTTTCATTACCGGAGCCGAGCGTCGAGCGCTTCATTCCTATGTGGAAGTGCCGAACCGGCAATGCGCTCAAGTGCCGAACTTACACTCGTTCTATAGCACTGTCCAAAATATGTTAAGTCCACTCTGCTGCACCTAAAGAAACGAATCGAGCGCCGGTCAGTTCATCCACAGTACCGCAAATAATCGACTGTGAAAATACGACCAATACAACCCGCGGGATAAAGCTGAATTTTAACGTTTTCGAGCGATAAGGCGAGATTATTTTTTATCGACTTGTTGATGAGAGCGTTACCCAATTTCGGGTAACTTAAACAGCAAGAGTAGGTAGTCTCAAGTTTTTTGGAACTCGTGGCACGGACTGCAATAAATATTTATTGCTGTTTTCATTACAATAACTAATACGGACATTTATATGCATGTGTGCGTCTGTTGTGAGAAAATGTCCATTAGGAGACTTGACGTTTCTATTACTCGCCGACTTGCTTATTTTTTACTTCGTAAATATTTTAATTCCGTTGTGTCTTTGCAAAACTTACAATAGTTTTGTTATTGCTTTATGTTAACGCGTCATTCTGATTCCTTGAGTTGTTTTTAACAACCGAAATATTCAGGCGTTCGCAAAACTATACCATGGACTCAATTGTCTTGGATTTGTATTGAATCCACTAATCTATATTAGAAACAAAAACAATGGAACTAAAAACACCTTCAATCTGCGGTTATTCTTGTTTCCACCTGAGGACTTCGCAGTTCCATGGGACCGAAAGACTTTTTCACCTGAGACGATCCCTAGATGTACTTTCGGGTTGAATCTTTTCGCACGGTAAATCGATCAATTCCCTTGGGTCTAATCCAGCAAGGGTCCGTTTAGCGACCGGATACTAAGAAAGTCTTTTGTCCAGGCCAAATACCTTCAGAAAAGGTCAGCATTATCTTGTATCCTTTGGGATACAATACAGCGGAATATCCGGGTATGGGCGTAGGATTTTCCCGTCATTAGACCAAGGTCCATCAGAAGCTTCTTTCTTACTACCTCTCCTGGTTCAATCCGAGAACATGTGTAAGCTTTGAATCTTGAATGGTACACTACGGAAGCTGCTTACAGGGGTCCAGGGACGAATCTAATGTTTTTTTTTTGTGTGAGGATTCCAAGAGTCTTTCGTCCAGGTCACATACCTTCGGAAAAGGTCTTCATTATCTTATATCCCTTAGGATACAATACAGTACAATATCCGGATATGATCCAGGCCCAGGGTTTTTCCGTAATTAGACTTTAGGTCGTCCTCTTGGGAGGAATACTATCAGAGGCTTTTTTCTCACTACCCTCCTAGTCCAATCTGAGAACATGTGCAAGCTTGGAACCTTAAACACAAAGATCACAATTTTGAGGTAGGTTTGGCCTTTTGGATCCATATGGTGCTGAATATCGCATCTCTGGTTCAACGGAGGAGTATCCCGGGTTCACCTGGATAGTGTCCCGCTTATAAAACTCAACAAATCTTCCCAGGGTTCGGTCCGGGTGGGTTTACCTTAAAATTCTCAATAGGTGATGTACCTCCAATTGTCGCCAGAGTATCCAATTTCGGAAGGTTAGGAATTGTAACGGGACCTACTCAAACCTTCGCGAATTTCCCGGGCGTGTAAGAAATGATTCAGTATGCTAGCTCGACTAAAAAAGCGGGCAAAATCTGGGCCACTCGGTATGCAGTCTTCGACGACGAAACACGTTTCCCCTTTTTGCTCGTCATTCGAGCGCGATTTTTTCAGATGGCTAAACTATACCCACTTCCAAATGTAAAAAATATTCTTGCAGAGCGTCGGCGTTCCGGTTGCGAATGTTAATGCGCCCTATAAATTACCCGGAATTAATTATTTTTTTTCAGGGTTGTAAAATTCCGGAGCTTTTCACGGAAGGAGGTTCTCTGTCGGACAGCGGCATTTCGGACGAGGGTTCCGAGCACGAGATCGGCGAGCGCGAACGTCGTCTGGCGGCGATCCGGCGCTTGGTTCGTCAGCTGGAAGTCGTCTTGGCCCCGGACTGCAAAGCTCGCCTGAAAATGGCCGAGAGGCTGAACGCGGCCGAAGAGGAATTGAAAGCTCTGCAGAAACGCTGCCGATCGCTGATCGCCTGCACCGCTGCCTACTCTCTGCCAGTTCGGCCTAGGTGAGCACTACCACTTTTTATTCCCACGTATCGACAACATAAACAACTGTCCATCTAACACAGCTCGCTTATAAATTACTAGCAAATATTTCTGACACTGTTCGAAGCGCTTTTTTACTCGTTTTTTTGTTTAATCATGCGGTTCTCACCTAGATGATAGCGGAGTTGAAGCCTCGACTGCTAATGACGGTGTTGGATGTTTTTGCTATCTATGACTTAAATTCATTTAATGCGTTCGTTTATAGCCACTTCCTAATGCAATCATAAATTTATTGCGGGCGCGATAATCGGGATTTTTCTTCGGATAACAAAGTGGCTTTAAATTGCAGTAACAGCGTCGTAAATTTTTATGCTGTTGTAACTCGTTAATACTGGATTTACTAAGTAGCGATTTTTAAGGGAATTAAGCGGTGTTGACGGGGACGAAAGCATAGTTCGAACGAAAAAACCTGCTTTTTCAGTTTTTTTATTTTGTTTATTATACTAACAATGACAAAGACGCATGGGAAGGAAAATGACGATTTGCGACAACGTTGCCAGAATATACCGGACGCAGAATTAGCTGAAGAATATATCCCAAAACGTTAAAACATTAACTATTTCCATGCTTTGAAGTCTCCGTAAATTTCGGTGTCACAACTAATAATTTTGACGACGCAAATTTAAATATAATTGTGTCGATGGCGGACGCAGCATTTTGAAGTAAAACTCGGAAAGTAATATGCAGATGGCGACTAATAACATCGAGACAGATATGAGGTGGAAGTTTGGAAAGGTTTAAAGCATATTTGCAGTATATGCAAAAGAGTTAATTTGGAGTTAAAGCACCTAAAAAACTTTTACACAAAACTTTCCTTTTCAGAGATCAGACACGAGAAACGTGCGTTTCATAAATATGCACTTTTTTTACTAGTTTATGAATGTTACCGTTTTTTCACGGACGCAGCATTGTATGAAAGACATACATAACTAAAAAATATGCTGCGACTCCACCTTTCTGCTACTCTTGTGGAAAAATAAAAAATCAATATATCATCCCCTTCCGCTTCTTTTTTAATAATCGAATGTTGCTCAATATTCGGTGGCATTGTTATCGAATACCGCTCTAATGCTCTCTACGTTATCAATTTGAAAAGAGTTGCACAGACATGGCGAAGTCCGTCGGTTTTTGATGTGGATGAAGTGAACTGTAAGCAGGCTATTCATATGCAGTGCGAGTAGCAGCGTCGTGGGCCGCCATTACTGCCTATTTAGTTGTGAAGCACCAAGACGCTGCCAAGGCAGTGCTCCGTCGGTCTCATGGAAATAGTTACGATAGACGATCATTCATGTTCACTTAGCGGGGAGATTAAAGCTTAGAAAGGCATTGTCACGTCGTTTAACCCCAAGATTTGTAAACATAAATGCCGACCCTTTTCAACCTTTCGGAATCAGATGATCGCCATCTTTCATTCGCGAACTCTAGGATTCTAGGTGTTACGAAGATTAAAAATTTCCGAAATCGTTAAGATAGTTGTTTACTAATTAAAACGGTTTTTTTGAAGTTGTGGAACTAGATGACGCGACAGACGGTCCTAGTCATCAAACTGTTGGTAAACCTCAGACATAACAATGGCTGGAACCGTCTTTGGTTAATTTGAATTTTGATGCCGCGGTTGTTCGTCGTATTCGCGTCTTTCGCGACAAAGTAGTGACATTTTCCATTAAATGATAATTTGATGAAAAATGGGAGGCGGGACTTCCTATCTGTGACAAATTTTTCTCTAAACATTTCGGTCACCTTCATTTATTGGAACGCGGTGTGAGTAATTGTCCGTAAACGTGTACGTACATCCATCTACATCTGAGAGGACTATTTAAATTCGAGCATTAATATTGATGAGATATATTAATCAGAGACAATATTGTGGTTAATTTCTGTGTGTCAGTCGGCATTGTTTCGGCTGTTGTTCTTTGCATTGTTTACGTTTTAGCATTAAACATTCATTCCATGAAAAAACCATCCGCAAGAATTTACGCGTAGAAGATTCCTGTCACTGAGATCACTACCTCTCACAATTCGCTTAAATCACGAATCAAACATTCAATTTAGCGGCGCCCCTCGAGGCTGTAGTTCTTAATAGCGAGATAAAAATTTTAATGTGAATATATTTCATATCGCAGCATCTTCCGCGTTAGATTGTCTCAGAGTTTGAAAAATGAACTTCGATATGTTAAAACTCGAGGCAATAACAAGTGGATCTCTGCAGATCGCTCCGCGTCTCCCAGCAGGCCCGCTGGGCGTACGAAGGCGCTTTTTAAGATTAATCGGTGTTTTACCGACCCGTGAGCGAACATGCGACTGCCTTAATTAATATTAACAAATAAACAACAAATCTCTTATCGCAGTAACAGCCCGCAACAAATTAGAGAGATAGATCATCCACGCAAAGACGTGCCATGCTGAACAAGCGGAGGAATTAACACCTACGACGCGTTTCCGAACAGGGAATTGGGATGTTTTGATAAAATTTTATGACCTGTTAGTGTGTCATTTAAACCAACAACCTAACTGGCAAAAATCCGCGTCAATCGGTAACAGATGACGCATCTTTTTGACTTATGCGCATGGATTGCGACAACGTTGCCAGAGTGTGTCGGACGCAGGATTAGCTGAAAAATATGCTCCCTGCGTATTCCGAAACGTTAAAGCACACTTATTTTTAAGTCTTGCCCGTATTATATAGACTAATTCGCTTTTGTGACACCTTTCTAGCCGGGAGGTAACACATTTCTCGATGTCTGAACTATGCTTTCGTACTTGCGACACGTGCATGCGACAATGTTGCCAGAATGTGTCGGACGCACAATTTTCTTGTTTTAATTAATATCAACAATCAAACAAATTCGGAGGAATCATCACCTACGACGCGTTTCGGAACGCACCCGCGGTCTGTCAAATAACATGATGTAACGTAAAGACTATGCTATGTATTGAAATCTTGCGCATCCGGTAAGTAATACAGACGCCGGCTGAATGATGATAACGTTATTATGTGAGCAACGCCTTTTGTTTGATAGTGGTAACGCTTGGAATAAAAATCGCGCGTTTTCGATTACCATTTTTTATATTTCTTCGTCGAATTTAATGGTGTTTGCTCGTCAGCGAGGAGCACCGGGAGCTGGAACCTTCGACGAAGGACCCGGACGACGACGACGACGACCCCGGCAGCGAGCCGAGCGCTTCTTGGTTCAAGCGGGTGATGCGGGCGTCAGTTCCGTTCCAAGTCGTCATCATAACCCTCCTCTGCGTGGCTTGCCTGCTGGAGCCGCAGTGTTGCGACAACATGAATAATTTTGCGATGTCTTTGAGTCCGCAGTTGCGTTACATTAAAGGACCGCCGCCGATTTAGGTACTTATGAATGTCAAAATTTTTTCCTACACTGCCTTTGGTACTTACCGCACGAGAGTCGTAATGACTTTGCCTTCGTTTTGGATGAAAACGTAGCATATTGTTATTGTGTATATAATGATATTTTATAGTAAAAGAATAAATGCGTATTTGCAGTTAGCAAATGATCGATTTCATATCATTTTAGATAAGAAATTTTAGCCACTACTAGACGTATATTTTTTTTGTGAAGGTAGTCGCTAAAGCATTTACAGTTTACACTGATCGTAAAGTATTATATACGAAAGGAAGTAGCAAGTATGAGTTTGATTGCGCTTCCGACGAAACTGATGAGAGTGATGAGATGACCTGGCAAGACTTTTTATAAGTTTCTTTTTTATACTGTCACGTGCCTTAACGTAGGCGCCTTGCCTCTACGGCCTTGTATCTCTAATAGAGTATATTATTACGTTTAACACATGAGTATATGGTGTTTTTTTATTTGAAAAGCTCGACGTTGCAACGTAACTTAAATACACGTTCGGGTGCAACAACGGGCGATAATTGTTCACTTGCTGAACAAGTGCGGCAACGGCACGATTATTTTATTTAAACTAGTGCATGTTAGTGTTAACTAGGTTTGCATGTGTTTACGTGATCGGCAACATCGGTGTTTGTTATTTATAATTTTTATTTATTATGAATGAGGACAAGAAAAACATCGACGTTGTCTATCCAACCAACTCTAATAGATGTAATGGTTGGATTTATTATAACCTTACGTATAATTAAAGTTTCGTGGGTTTTCGTGACGTCTGAACTTATTATCGGACGTTACTTGCCGACGGACTTTTCTTAATTTAAGAACAGTACGACGATTTGCTTCAAATTTTATCCCTCAGTTTGTTTTATCGTAAATTTTTATCTTTCGTTTTTTTTTGAAAATTTTAAGTTTATCGTTGTGCATTTCTATATATAACATGATTTATTTATGACAATATTGGGCATTTGCGTAAGTTATATTTCTAACGAAACCAACGTAAAAAATGATCGTTCGTATTTTTTGTATTTTGATGGTTAATAATAGTCAAAGTTTCAGAGATTCATATTATAATCTTGCGAACTCGTTAAAGCGGCAAGTTTATAATGCTAAGCTTAGTAATTAAAGTTAATCTTTTTACGGCGGTTTCATAGTTTGTACCATTTGTTTTAACATAATCAGTTTTAACTTAATTAAGTTTAATGTTAAGTATCATCTAAAATGAGTACATCTTATATTATTAGTTGCATGGTAAAAATTCCTCGATCATACAGTAACTAGTTCCACGCATTTGCCTATTTTATAATTATCCCTCCAATACTTGGTATTGTTCAAAGATAATATTGGAGTTGTGTAGGTCTTGATTGATTAGTGTTTTATCACTTAGTATCAACAAGGCGCATACATTTTTTTCAAAATAAAGAATTTTGTAACAAAAGTAGTTTTAATTGTCCCCACTACGTCACCATTAATTACTTTTATGATTCATAGATGCCGTCGTAAATTATTAAAGACAAAATTATATAATTAGAGGAAAATAAATTATTTAGACCTATGGCAATAATCCATCATCAATTTAATTAATATGAGAAACTTAACGGGATCTATCATTAAAATTATTAACAGCGAGTTAAGTATACGCTCATTTGATTACACCTTTTTCTTCAATAACTAATAATTTCAAGATTCCTAATGCTATAGTGGTTTATTCGTCTTGACTGATAATTATTACCTTTTTCCCGGCATTCACATCGCTTTGTCTCTGGATTATTCTGAAAATAATCGAAAGTAGGCAACAGATGTTCATCGCCGACCTCTCAGGTAAGTGACAATCATATTTTTCCCCTATCGTTGATGACGTAGCACAAACATGACGTATCCAAAATTCCATACGCGGTAGCACTAGATCTAGCAACCATCCAATAAATCCGTATCGATCTGAAGTAATCTCACCACAACTAAATCTATATCTATCGCGTGAGGCATTTGATTTTACGGCTTACCATTAATTCCTTAGGCGAGTTGTGTAGGTAATTTCATTTTCGTTGGGCATATTACTTGAATAATAATCGTGAAAAGTAGATAGTATATGGTTTATGATTATAGTTCGAGAATTGTTGAAGCCGTGGAAATGAACGTCGGCCCGTATGGTATAGTTATGAGTATCCGCTCACACTATAATCAAAAGAAATGTTAAAGGTACCGGTACCGAGATGCCGGGGACAACACCATGAAGACACGCGGTGAGAGCAGCGCGATACACGTTCTCAAAAAAGATCAAATCGAAAAATAGCTTTAATCGCAAGCCGAGGTGAAAATAAGTGGCCAACACAATGCAATAACAGCTATTGTTGCCGTTGTCGTCCAGGATCGGACGCAGGGACATTCCGACCGCCGCAGCGAAAATCGCAGCAGCAATTAAGCCTGGAATTCCATAACGGTCCTAATCGTTATTTTTTCGCCGTAATAACAGTTATCGCGCTTGCGGAAGTATCGGCGACTTTTCGAGCGACGCGTTTTTACTTATGTGTGAAAATTAACTAACTTGATTAACCTTAATAAATCAGTCCGGCCCTGGTCGTCGGACTACACCTGGCAGGTTTGACGGCCGAACGCTACCTTGTTATTACCGGACCGATATTACTACACCCACTACTTTGCCGCTGCGGTATAGCTCAAGCATAGCCGAGCTTTCGCATTCTGAAATTTGTCGTGTAATTTTTATTCAGTTGGTACCTATTAAACATCACCACTTTACCCTTCAGCTCGATGCACTCACGACTATCATTTGCTACTACCAAAACACCCTAAGGACCTAAATAAATCACGGCTTCATCATCTTGTTATTTAGACATAATTCTTTAGTGTTAATAACGTTCCCATTTCGTAATGGGATGCCACAATGATGCAACGTAATTGTCGCTGGAATTGAAGTCATTACGAAGATTTGTGGGAATCCGGTTGATGTCCCAAATATGAGTGCAGACTCATATAGGACCACTATTGTTTCTAGTACACAATATGTCTTTTATTTTAAAGGTTCTAGTTACGCATTGCATAATTAACGCATTTCTGGACACCAGGGACCTTCTGGAAATCGAGAATTTTCCTGAAACCGTGACGCACCAGACTCCAAATTTTATATACCTTTAAATGAAGCAAAATTTCGGCCATTCAGGTACGGGTCTAAATTTTTCAAGTGCCGGTTCAACAGGTCCCACTCACCCTTGATCGTGGGACTCCGAGTTTCTTTAAAGCTTACTTCATATACAAAACAAAAGAAGTCCCTGAGATTCTTTCAAATTAGTCCAAAAACCAAACAAAAGGGGTTCCCGGAATTTTTCAAACTTCTTCAAAAACAAAACAAAAGGGGTCTCGGGGATTTTTTCAACTATTTAAAAACGTCAGAGAAAAGGATTACCGAGATTCTTTCATTTACTTCAAAATCGAAACAAAAGGAGTCCCCGAGATTCTTTCGAACTACTTCAAAAACCGGACACAGAGGGTCCCCAAAATTCTTCCAATTTACATAAAAAACAAAGTAAAAGGAGTTCCCAACACTGTTTCAATTTACTTAAAAAATAAAACAAAAGGAGTCTCCGAGATTCTTACAAAACTACTTCAAAAACCAGACAAAAGGGGCGCCCGATATTTTTCAAACTACTTCAAACACAAAACAAAAGGGGTCCCCGAGATTCTTTCAGTGTACTTCAAACACAAAATGTGTCCCCGAGATTGTTTCAAAACGACTTCAAAGACAAAACACAAGGCGATTTTTCCAAATTACTTCAAAAATGACACATAAGTGGTCCCCGAGATTGTTTCAAACTGCTTGAAAAATGAAACATTTAAGGACTCCAATATTATTTTAAACTACTTCAAAAACCAGATTCGAGGGGTCCCCGAAATTCTTTCAAACTACTTCAAAAATCAGACACAAAAGGTCCCCAAGATTCTTTCAGTTTACTTCAAAAACAATAGATGTCCCCGAGATTTACTGTAAAAACAAAATAAAAGAGGTTGCCAAGACTGTTTCAATTTACTTCAAAAATAAAACAAAAGAGGTCCCCGAGATTCTTTCAATTACTTTAAAAATCAGACACAAAGGGTCCCCGAGATTCTTTCATTACACTTCAAACACAAAATGTGTCCTCGAGATTCTTCAAAGCTACTTCAAAGGCCAAACACAAGGCGATTTTTTCAAATTACTAAAAAAAATGAAGCACAAGAGGTCTTCGAGGTTATTTCAAACTACTTCAAAAACAAAACAAGAAAAGTCCCCGCAATTCATTTAAACTACTTAAACAATCAGACACAAGAGGTCCCCGAGATTTTTCAAACTACTCCAAAAACAAAACAAAAGGGGTCCCCGGGATTCTTGCAACTGCTTCAAATATCAAACACAAAGGATACCCGAGATTCTTTCAATTTACTTCAAAAACAAAACAAAAAGGGTCCCCGAGATTCTTTTAAAGTACTTCAAAAACCAGACACAAGGGGCGCCCGAGCTTTTTCAAACTACTTCAAAAACAAAACAAAAGGGGTCCCCGGGATTCTTTCAGCTACTTCAAAAATCAGACACAAAGGATCCCCGAGATTCTTTCAATGTACTTCAAACACCAAATGTGTTCCGGAGATTCTTTCGATTTACTTCAAAAACAAAACAAAAGGGGACCCCGAGATTCTCTCAATTTACTTCAAAAACAAAACAAGAAAGGTCCTCGGGATTCTTTCAACTACTTCAAAAACAAAACAAAAAGAGACACTGAGATTCTTTCGATTTACTTCAAAAACACAAAAGGGGACCCCGAGATTCTATCAATTTACTTCAAAAGCAAAACAAGAAGGGTCCCCGGGATTCTTTCAACTGCTTTAAAAATCAGACACAAAGGATCCCCGAGATTCTTTCAACTACTTCAAAATCAGACACAAAGGCTCCCCGAGATTCTTTCGATTTACTTCAGAAACAAAACAAAAAGGCACCCGAGATTCTTTCGATTTACTTCAGAAACAAAACAAAAAGGCACCCGAGATTCTCTCAATTTACTTCAAAAACAAAACAAGAAGGGTCCCCGGGATTCTTTCAACTACTTCAAAAATCAAACACAAAGGGTCCCCGAGATTCTTTCGATTTACTTCAAAAACAAAACAAAAAGGGACCCCGAGATTCTCTCAATTTACTTCAAAAACAAAACAAGAAGGGTCCCCGGGATTCTTTCAACTACTTTAAAAATCAGACACAAAGGATCCCCGAGATTCTTTCAATGTATTTCAAACACCAAATGTGTCCCGAGATTCTTTCGATTTACTTCTCAAAAACAAAATAAAAGGGGACCCCGAGATTCTCTCAATTTACTTCAAAAACAAAACAAGAAGGGTCCTCGGGATTCTTTCAACTACTTCAAAAACAAAACAAAAAGGGACACTGAGATTCTTTCGATTTACTTCAAAAACAAAACAAAAGGGGACCCCGAGATTCTATCAATTTACTTCAAAAGCAAAACAAGAAGGGTCCCCGGGATTCTTTCAACTGCTTTAAAAATCAGACACAAAGGATCCCCGAGATTCTTTCAATGTACTTCAAACACAAAATGTGTCCCCGAGATTCTCAATTTACTTCAAAAACAAAACAAAAGGGGACTCCGAGATTCTTTCAAACTGCTTCAAAAATGAAGCACAAGAGGTCTCCGAGATTCTTTCAGTTTACTTCAAAAACAAAACAAAAGGAGTCTCCGAGACTCAATTTACTTCAGAAACAAAACAAGAAAAGTCCAAGCGATTTTTCAAAATACTCCAAAAACAAAACAAAAGGGGTCCCTGAGATTCTTTCAACTACTTCAAAAATCAGACACAAAGGCTCCCCGAGATTCTTTCGATTTACTTCAGAAACAAAACAAAAAGGCACCCGAGATTCTCTCAATTTACTTCAAAAACAAAACAAGAAGGGTCCCCGGGATTCTTTCAACTACTTCAAAAATCAAACACAAAGGGTCCCCGAGATTCTTTCGATTTACTTCAAAAACAAAACAAAAAGGGACCCCGAGATTCTCTCAATTTACTTCAAAAGCAAAACAAGAAGGGTCCCCGGGATTCTTTCAACTGCTTTAAAAATCAGACACAAAGGATCCCCGAGATTCTTTCAATGTACTTCAAACACAAAATGTGTCCCCGAGATTCTTTCGATTTACTTCAAAAACAAAACAAAAGGGGACCCCGAGATTCTCAATTTACTTCAAAAACAAAACAAAAGGGGACTGCGAGATTCTTTCAAACTGCTTCAAAAATGAAGCACAAGAGGTCTCCGAGATTCTTTCAATTTACTTCAAAAACAAAACAAAAGGAGTCTCCGAGACTCAATTTACTTCAAAAACAAAACAAGAAAAGTCCAAGCGATTTTTCAAAATACTCCAAAAACAAAACAAAAGGGGTCCCTGAGAT